AAGACTCGAGAGAGTGCCACCAGCAAAGGAAGCAGAGGTCAGGAGAGATTTCCAGCAGTCCTGCAAACCATGGGGACGGAGCATAACAGGGCGGGGGCAGGGACCGCCTGTGTCCAGTGCTGCGGGCAGGTCAGGAAAGAGTGGCAGCGAGCACTGACCTCAGAGCTCTGCAGGGCAGTGGAGGTCACTGCTGGCCTGAGTAAGAGCAGCTGCTGAGGTGATGCGGGCCCTCTGCCCAAGAAGTGTGCTGAAGGTGGGAGGCCCAAGGCTTGGGTGTGCTGAGCTGAACGGGTCGCAGGGGGCAGTGGCTGCAGTGATGTGTTGGGGTGTGTGGGGTGGGTGAGAAGAGATGCGCCTAGTGCCCTCTGGAAAGACCAGCGACCTGGAGTCGGCAGGCCTGGCCCAGACTCTCTCTGCCAAAGGCTGCAGGTCTTAGAGTGGTCCTGGGCAGCCCTCTGCCTGTGAGTCATGCCACCCCTCCCTCACTGACCGAGCCCGCATCTGAGCTTCTGCCCCCCTGCCCTGTATTCCAGTCCTGAGTTGAGGCTGGGCTGCCACTCTAAACCCAACCCACCCTAGCTGGGCCTGGCCTACCTGTCCCTAATCCAGACCTTGCATCTCCTAGCTGGGCTTGGATGACCACTTTTGGAAGCCAGGTAGTTCCTATCAATTTTAGTCTCTTCCTCTTCCACACCAGCCCTTCGAGCTGAGTGCCCATCTTCCTTTGCAACGAATGAACTTGAGTTAGGACAATATAGCATCACCCTCAATGAACAATATAACTTTGTACATGTGCAAACAACATTCCTTAACAAAGGAGCCCTTGTAGAATGACCAAGGCAAATGCACAGGTGCTGGGTGAGAGAGCCAGCGCATTCCTGAGCGGGCACACCCAGAGGCTGCCCGGAAAATGCAGGCTTTGTCCAGGTGAGGACAGGACGGGGAATGCAGACAGGGCGTGTGCCGGGAAATCAATTCGACAAATAGGAATTGACGCGGGGTGAGTACAGAGCATGGCCCTCAGCTCCAAGTCAAGAGGTGATGTGCGGGGAGACAGGATTGGATTTCAGCACCAGCATTAATTCAAAAGTAACACAAAAAATTAGGGGGTGTGGAAGGACCTGGGAGGTTGGCCAGAGGAGAGGGTCAACCACTGCCCTTTGAAGGCTGCGTAGGATTTGGCAGTGGACGGACCTCAGCAGGCCCAGAAGGGACGCACCACAGGGGTGGGTCAGACTGTGGGGCACCAGGAAGATCGGGCTGTTCCCATCGGATCCTGGAGGTAAGGCAGCCACAGAAGACGCTGGAGCAGAGGAGTGACAAGCAGAACCATGATCAAAGACACCCAATGGCACCAACACGGGGTCCTAGAGAGAGGAAGGCCAGCACCCTGAAGAGAAACCACATCTGAGTCATGGACTACTTTGTGTGGACATCAGTATTTGCGGACCCAGCGGAAGGGGAAGGATCAGGGAGAGCAAAGCATCCAAGAAAACACTACAATTTTGAGTACGAAGAGCTGGGTGCATCGTCTGAGCTCTAGACGTGGACGGAGGTGCTGCTGGTGGCACGTGGAGGACTTGGACGGCACACGCCGAGTTTGAGGTGCTCTGAGTCTCCCAGTCAGAGGTGCCCAGCAGGCACGAGAAGCAAGGCTCCATAGCCAGGAGTGAGGTCCTCGCTGGAGACCCCGATTGAGTGTCCTTGGCGCGGTGACAAGGAGATGAATCACACTGACAAAGGCGATCACTCAAGGCCAGGAGCAATCAGTCCAAAGGGCCAGGTATGGAATCCCCATTCCACCCAGACTGCTGACCAACTGACCCCTCCTCCCCACCTGCCTGAGTCTCACCCAGCCTTCCAGGCCCAGCCCCGCCCCCTCCAGGACGCTGTCCCTGACTCCTGTAGCCCAGCGGGGTCCCTTCCTGCTGTAAGCATCTCAACACCGCAGTCCACACCTCAGGCTCGTGACACCCCTGGCACAGAGCACCCATAAGGCACCGAATCAATGGCTCCTTCTTGATGGATCGCTCAGTTGATCAATTGCTGGGTGGAAGGTCAAGAGAAGAATAAGGGGACAAGTGAGCAGCTGACGAGCGATAAAAAGACTCATGGTGTTGGACTCATGCGGCATCCACTCTGTGTCTCTTCACCAAGAATTAGATCTGCAACATGTGGGTCAGCGTGGAGACATCTCAGAAACACTGCTGAGTGAAGACAGCAGGCTGCAGCTGTGCGCGAAGCCTGCCGGAGCAGTGCGCGCTCGCTGCGGGTCTCCCCGGGTGGCCCCGCACACGGAAGGGCTGCCTGCGCTTCCCCACTCCCTGGGAGGCGGGAGAGGCCCTGTGGCTTGCCCTGGCCCACGGAGTGGAGCAGGAGCTTTGGGACGAAAGCTTTAGCACCCCGCACGCAATCCACCACTTCCCCTTCTTCTTCCCCCAGCTTCCGTCAGCCCGGACCTCTCGGTGGCTCCAGGGAACAGAACGCCACTGCGCACCCCTGTCAAACACGCACGGGAGTGACACACAGATGCTCGCCATGTTGGGAAAAAAAAAAAAGCAAGAAAGGAAAAAGGAATAAACGAGTCTAAGGTGAAACACTGGTGTCCTCAGATGGGCGTGACCGAAGGATTTACTGAGTGTCTCTGAGTGCGGGGTGCCTTTGGCACGTGGGGGGTGGACGGCAGGTGGTTCTGTGCACGGATGGCTGTATGCCCAGCCCATCCATGTAGTGCCAGACATGCCCCTCGTCACGCAATAACTACAAAAACCCTCACCCCCACCTTCCCAAACACTCCTGGGGGTGATCCCGGCCCCAGGTGAACCATACATGTAAAGGGGCCACTGGAAGCAGGGGTGGGAGGCACACTGGGGCCCAGACAGGACAGGGGCTGTGGGAGCAGAGGGCTGACCGGCGACACCACGTACTCCCCCAGAGTGCTGAAACTGGGTATGGCCAGTTGAGAGTGGAAGGACACTTTCCCCAGTGGACAGAACAGAGTGAGTTATCCTGGAGGGAGACAGGAGAGATGGATGTCACAGTGGTAAGATTCCCCAGCGCCCACGAACTCCGGCCTTTTCACGAGTTGCACAGCGTCCTCTGATGATCTAGACAGTGCGTGGTTACGCCCTTCCGCAGGTGAGGAGACCGCTGGAGAGGGGGCAGACGGTTTGAGGGGAGCAGAGGCGAGCGGGAGAGCTGTTCTTAAAGGGCACAGGTTAGTGACCTTGAAGGAGAGGGAGATTCTGAAGCACAGCAGGTGGGACTAAGTGACAGCCTGGATGGGGCCAGCGCGGGGCGGGGAGGAGTGGCGACCGATGCCCAGACTGTGGGAAGAGGAGAAGGGGACTCTGGGCACAACTTCTCACCTTTCAGCCAAAGGCAGACCATGTGGCTGAGACTCCAGCCAGTAGCTAGAGCTGTGAGCCAACCGGGATGGGAGAGGTTCCCGCCAGCTGCCCTCCCGGAGCCCAGGTTTCCCGGGGAACGAGGCAGCAGGGAGCCACCTGGGAACCAGACATTTGGAGACTGTTTTCTCTCGGGGCAGAAGTAAACCTCATCACACACACCAGCACCCCCTGGGCCCCAGGGACGACAGTCTGAAGCAAGAGGGAAGACGGCAAGTCCAGGTGGACCAATTGGTGAATTCTTACGTGGCCTTTAAAGGACCCAGTGATGTGGGGACACAGGGCCACACGAGGGCGCTCTAACCAAATAGAGGGGAGGAAAGCAGTCCCTCCCCACAGGCAAAGAGGCTCCGGCTGTATTTTGAAAAACCTTCAATCCAGTGTTTCTCAATGGAGCTGCTATTGGAACTCTGGGCAGGAGGCTTCTCCCCCAGCGGGGTGTGCCGGTGCCACTGCTGCTTCAGGGGTGTTTGCCATCCCGGACCCCCTCCCCGTCACTGAGAACACTCAGCTTCCCAAGTTTCATTTCCAAACACCCCTTATCCAGACAGTCCGTGCTGCTCAGGGCCACTGGAGGGGGCCCACCGGTGGCCTTGGGCAGCATGGCAGCTTCTGCTCTCCCCACCCTTGCAGGAGCCTGGCACCTCCCACTCTGACCGTGTGAGCTGGGCACCCACAGAGGCTGGGGAACTGCAGGCCCAGGGACAGCTTGTGCGGACAGGGCCTGCCGTCCTTGGGAGGTTGGTGTTCCTTTGTGTCGTTGTCCCTCAGGACAGGGAAGGATGAAGGCTGCGTTGATGACACTGGGGACACAGACACAGGACCCTGAGACAGACAGCGCGGGACCTGACACCAATGTCCCTGGGAGCAAACACAGGGCTACACAGAACACAGCTTGCACGACACTGTCACAAAGCGAACCTGAAACAAGGCACCCCCTGGAGCCCGGAGGACCCACTGTCATGAGTTCCGAGATGTTTACATTGTTAGGTTCCCAAGGACAAGCACGGAGGTGAGAATCCAGGGGTGAGATTCCAGTAAGTATTTACCACCCAATGAGCCCTGGACCCCGGCCAGTCGGGATGGAGACAGGTGTACACAGCTGGCCATGTCGACTAGCTATCGGCCCTGCAAACAGCCTCATGGGCAGAGTACGAGTCCCCTGTGGGACAGCGAGCATACCCAGGTGGCTGCTTGGGCAGACAGACGTGACTTTTTGGGAGCATACACCAAGGTAAACGGAGGTCTGGAGAGAGCCTGGGGGAGTCGCTGTCCAGCCCAGTGCAGGACCGGAAACCCACCAGCTCCTGAGGGGTGAGGGGCTGGATGGAGACCCAGACCAGCCCGCCCACCGTTCCGGGTGCCCCGCCCCCACCAAGGAGCCTCGTGCTCTGAAACAGAGGTGGCCTGTGCATCCCACAATGGTGGCGTCTGCTGGAAGGCACGGCTGGAACCCCAGGGTCCCTGGTCACGGCCCTGCCGGTTGAGACGCTCACCACCTCTGAACACAGATGGGCCGACCCCAGCCTGCTGGCTGGGCATGAGCTCTTCCTCCATGGGAAGCAGACATTGTGAACTGAACAGGATTCTTACCCTCCTTCGAAGATTTTGATCCTCGCCGGCTCCCCTCTCTTGGAGGCAGGAGTGTCCTCCTCCGGCTTCCCTCGCTTCTCTTCTTCCTTCTCCACTCTAGCTATATCTTTCTGGCCTTCCGGGGAAACCAGCGAAGGGAGGTGAACCTGGCCCACCGCAGGAGGGACAAAATCATTGCTGGTTACATGGTCGTAATGGAATGATGCCTTCAATGGCATTGCATGCTCACACCCAATCGTGGCTCACTTCATCTCCACGCTAGCCTGTGGAGAGGTGCTGTGACCCCACTTCACAGAGAGAAGGAAGCTGACCCCCTGAGAGGTAAAGGCCCCTATTCAAAGGCACGTGGTTAGTTGGTGTCAAAACTGGGACCAGGGCTTTCGCAGGGGAAGACCGGGCCTTCCCACGAGAGCTGTGTTTGCTCTCTCCTCTGCACTGGTCAGGGAGCTGCGGGGGACGGGGCCTCATCTTGGTTTCCTGGGTCAGGCCAGTGCCCAAAACAAGACTCTGCCCGTGGAGATTAACCTGTCCAATTCTGTTTTACAGATCAGAGAGTCAAGGTTACCCAGCAGGGTAAGAGCATTGCTGGGAGCAGAACACAGGTTTCCTGAGAGCCCCAACCAATGAGACCTCCCAGAGCCAGGCACACAGAGGCTGTGCTGGCCCACTGATGGGTGTGCCCCTGAGGGTGGGCAGGCTCTGGGCTGTTTGTCTGAAGGAACCTATTCTCGTCACAGGCCTCAGTGGGGAGAGCTGGCTCCATGAGAGCGTGTCTTTTAGACCCCCTGATGGCAGCAGGGGGTGGGTGCACCCACAGAGAGGAAACAGCGATGCTGGGCTAGTGGCTGGAGCCAGCAGTGCTGGGAATGAGATTCTCATCCTACTTCATGCCACTGTCACGAAGGTCATGAGACACTGCACTGCTCGCGGCCAGCAGGGGAAACAACTGTGTGTCCTGGTGCTGGGACAGTCTAAGAATTGCGGTCCCCTGTGCCTGCCACCACATCTGCCCCGACAAGGAGGTGCTGGGGCCGAGCAGCAAGGTCACTGGTTGAGAGTCAGGGAACCTGAGTTCCGGCAGCTCATGGGCCACTGCATGCTGGTACGGAGCACACTGGGCAGCCAACTGGCATCATTCCAAGAAAAAGTTTGCAGGTTTTGGCTCATTTTAAGAATTTCAAATTTCAAAGCAATGACTGCCAAACCAAATTAAGCCAAATTAACTCTTTCTTCTCATTAAATGGCCTTTTAAGTATGCAGTCATTACAACGGAGAGGCAGTCCAGAGCATCTGGGAGGGCTCTGGAGTGAGCACTGGTTTTGAACCCGGGCTCTGCCACTTACTGTGCAGCCAGGTGCCACCTACCCAATTTCCATGTCCTTTGCCTTCTCACTCACAGAGTGGCCATGGGGTCCCAGGTGGTTGTGGGGGTAAAGGTAAAGTGTAGCACAGCACCCGTGTGCCATGTCAGGTGCACAAATAGCTGTAAGTGTGAGCGTAACAACAACAGCATCTGGGGATGCTCTGTAGCCGGTGAGCCACACCGGAGACTGAACCAGTAATGTTGTTTATTGCAGAAGCGGAGATCTCGCTTAGGGATGTCAGTAGACTGACAAGAACATTTACAGAAAAAACCTGGGAAACAATTCTGCGAAGAATGTGCAGCTGAGCTAAGGACAAGTTGAATGCACAGAACAGAGGAGGATGTGACTAGAGGAGAGTTCGAGAACACGGTTTTGTTCATTTGTCTGTAATGTGAATTTAGTTCAGGAGATGGATGCCTGATTTGGTCAAATCACCCAGTCTGAAGAATTACTTGAAGGCTTTCTTTTCTTAAATGAGTAAAAGAAGAAAAATAGAGTTTCTGGAGTCAGACAGGTCTGGGTGTGCCAAAAATGTGCCGTGGGACCTTGCCTTCTCTCACCCTCTGATTCTCAGTTCCATCGTCTGTAGAATGGAGGTGGTCCTGCCCCCCACCCCGCCCCCTGCCCCAGGTGGAGATGAACGTTGGCTGGGTCCAAGGGCCGAGCACAGCGCCTGGCACAGTGAGGCTGCCCAACCGACCGACTGACTGTTAGTCCACAAACACTAAGTCGGCATCATACATCATGGCCTGAATCCGCAGGCTGGCCTTGTCATGGAGGTGTCATTTTCCAAATTTTAAACTTCTTGAACCTGCAGGGACCTGTTGATTCTATATAGTCCCTGATGCAGCCTTGGGTCTGAGGCAACGGAAGAGTACATGTGTCCCTTTAGTTGGGCCAGTGCTACACACAGCATAGCTAGGTCACGCTGTGAGTGGCATTGCCACCTACTGGTAAAGAGGGATATTGCAGCCCAGCTCTATCTGCTCTCCTACTCACAGAAAAGAATCTCTGGAGATGAGATTTCCAGCGGTACCAGAAAACAGAAACAGCAGGTGTACAAAGAAGGAAAGCAGGAAAAGACTAACAGGGCAGGAAGAATCATAAGATGGAATGGTATAAAGTTCTAACATTGCTGTAGGCCAAGTTTTCCAAACAGCCTTTTGGAGATGTTTTTTGTTTTTTGCTTTTCCTTGCTGAGGGCGCGGGTCTCATTTTACAATAGCAGCCAATGGGAAAGCAGGATCCCTTCAAAGCTCATTTTACTGACATGTATCTATTCCAATGGCGTGAGGGACGCACTGACAAAGGAAACCACTGAATGTTTCCTGGTAAGGTGACTGATCCAGCCGACAGAGAGGAAATCCGCCCACTCCTCCAGCTCTAGTTTTGCCGGTGGAACCGGAGGACTCTGTGGCCTTAAAAGCTCAGACAAGGTTTTTTAAAAAATCAAGGGGAGAGGAAAACTAACACTGAACTTACCTCTGTCATGCGGGGCTTGCGGGAGCTGGATGGCACGAGCCTTCCCGTCTCAGGATGCGGAGCTGTGGCCATGGTGTATGTCTCTTTGCTCACCTTCTGCTTAGACCTCAGGAGGGACAAAGCAGCTTTAGTGGAAACCCCCGGAAGGTTGGGGTTGTACAAACTTATGCACCAACCAGCGTAAACAGAGGACCTCCTATCTGCGTGCTGGATGTGATTTGGCTTAATGTAGTTTAAATAGCACCAACTGACATTAGTGGTTGTGTGGAGGCTGGGGAACTGCAGTACCTTCTTTGAGTCCGTACCTTCTTGAGACTTGGCTGGTTTGGGGGACGTTTCTGACAGAGGAAGCTGGGAGCTGGAAGGTGCCAGTGAAGGGAGGTCAGGTTGTTCCTTGGAATCTTCTTTCTTCACACTCAGAGCGGGCAGCCCTCTTCGGTGAGGTTTGCCAGAGGGCTGCGCGTGCTCTTTCGAAGCCTCTGAACCCGGAGCTGTCACGTGGGGTCGTGTGGGATGAGGAAGGGGAGGAATTTCCTTTGGGTCAGATGGATCTGTGGGCAGGCTGGACAGCAACTCTAGCTCCCTCCTGCCCTGGCCCTGGCTGCCCAAGGGGGGTCTCTCTGGCCTCTTGCCACCCTCAGGGCTGGTAAGCACCACACTGCACGGTTTTACCAGTTCTAGTTTTTCATCTGCCTTGGAAGCCTCCTCTTCCTTCACCCGTTTTTGCTGCTGGGTTTCCATGGTAAGTTCAAGGCTGCCAGCCGGCGAAAGCACACGTTTGCTTCCCCCAACCGTCGAAGAACTCCCCTCCAGGCTCAAGACACTCTCCGAGGACAGGGAAGTACCTTTTCTGTCGGGTACTGTCACAGGCACTCGCAGGTATGGAGTCTGGAAGCCTCGGCTCAGCTCCTCACTTAGCCCTGCCGGCCCGGGTCCGGCCTCGTGCACGTCTGCCCCACACACTGCCGTCCCTTTGCACGAGGGCTCCTCGAACTTGGGAAGAGCTATGGTCGCCGAGGTGCCTTGGGACTGGGTGACCAGGATCTGGGACAGGGTGGTGTACATGGCGCTCCCGTAGGACGGCATGTTGGTCTGAATTCGGACCGGCACAACCAGGGACACCATGGCATCTGGGCAGGCGGGCAGGGCCAGCGGAGGGGCTGACGTGGGCGCGGAGGAGCTGGCTGTGGGAGCCACGGGGGGCAGCTGGACGTCACTGCTGTACTCTGTGCTGGGGGAGAGGCCGGCCGTTCTCATGGCCAGTGGGGCCGGGCTGGTTTTGATCTGCGGCAGACGGCTTTCCACATCACCGGGGAGCTGAAGGGCAAACTGGGATTGCAGAGGCAGGTAAAACCCAGAAGAGAGTGCCGAGGAGGATGGGTACGGCATGGGCAGAAACGAAGGGGGCTGCCGGAAGGGGATGCTGGCCGGGTGAGGCAGGAGCTGGGGCACGTGGAGCTGGCCTGGGTGCAAAACAGTGGGTTGGAGAGGAAGTGGCGAAGCTTGAAATAAAGAGGGAGGAACGGGGGGCATGGAGTACGGTGAGGAGAGGAGGCTGGACATGGCCTGGGTGGAGAAGAAGTCTGAAGACTGCCCGGGCTCATGCTGCAGGAGGTGCTGGAAGGAGAAGAGGGAGACAGGCGGGGGCAGGCACGGCTTCTCATGCAGGGGGAGCTGGGCACCGGGGCGGGGGAACACCTGCAGGGCTTCTGTGTAGGGCGGTGTGGACCCCAGTGGCGGTCTGTCCTGCACCTGGCTCTTGCCTCCCATGTGCCCAGCGTGTGAGGTGGCCACTGAGGAAATCTGGGGCAGTGAGCTTTTGGCCGAAGTTTTACTGGAGGAGGGTTTTGGTTCCTCACTCTCCTGTCTTCCCTTGGGGGCGGCCTCCAGCTCTGTTTCTGGAAACCTGCTCAGAGAGGCCTGTCTCACCAGAAAGCATTTTCTCCTCTCTGGGGGGGCCGCTGGGGCCGCTGGGGCCGCTGGGGCTGTGGGAGCCACCGGCACCGGGGTGGCAGGGCCCGCCAGGGACAAGCTGCCGCAGTCGAAGGATTTGCTGCGCCTCTCCGTCATGTGGGCAGCGTGGGAGACGTTGGGGCTCTGCTCGGAGGCGGACCTCCGCATCTCCCGGGCGTGCGGGTGGTGGCTGGGGACGGTCAGCATGTGTGTGCCCGTGGGTTTGGGGCGCGTGTCGGATGAGGGCCCGGGGGCCTCCGCTCTCCCGTGGTCGTCCCTCTCAAAAGAGGCGGAGCGGCTGGACCCGCTCAGAGAGACACTGCTCTCCTGGCTTGGGCTGCGGGACAGAGGCACAGAGGACTCGAAGCTGGACTCCCCCGACGACTGGGCCATCTCCGCCAGGCGCAGTCTCTTCTTTTTTGGTGGCAGCTTCTCAGCGGGGAGCTGGGCAAGAGTCTGGCTGCGCTGGGGCCACTGGAACTCCTCTGTCTTCTCGGGCTCCTTAGGGGGCGGCTCTGACTCTGTGTCCTGCCGGTCGGGCTCCTCGGTTACCAGGATCTCAGGAACCTGAATGTTGGGCTGGCGGACCAGCTTGGGCTGCAGGGAGTGAGCCGGGCGTCCGTGCGGGGTGGGTGGGGGTGATGAGAACGGGGCGGGGGCCGGAGACTTGTCTTCCCCTTCCAAGCCGCTGGGCTGCTCCAGAGAATCTGACTTCTCGAAGGAGCTGGTGTGCTGGATGACAGAAATTTCTTTGGACGTTGCTCTCCTCTCCTTTCCTGATTCTGAACTGGGCCCCGGCTTGGGCGTCCTTGGCTGGAAGCCCGAGGGTCCCTCCAGGGAGGGCGCTGATTTACTTGGTTCTGCTGGTGACTTGGCGGACTCCGGGGGGACACTCCGCGCGGCGTCGGACGGCCTGGGGCCGCCGAACTGCGTTTTTGTCAACTCGAAGGCAGGTGGCTCCTCCTCGTCCCCGAGGCTCTTCTCCTTCCTCCTCTTCCTCAGCGGAGTGAGCTCCAAGGTGGTCCCCAGTTTATAGTGCATCATCTGGGACCAGGGCTCGTGCTCGGCCTGACTCTTCTCGGCTTCCAGGGACACGTGAGCACCTGCAGACACGGGCTTGGCGATCTGAAGCTCCGAGCAGTAGTATTTCTTGTGGGCCTCGTAGTTGTCCCTCTTCTTGTACCGAGCACCACAGATGTTACATTCATAGATGACCCCTTTTGTTTTCAAGCCCTTCTTGGTCTTTTTGGTGAGTTCACTTTCCTTGGGTTCCGTCTCCTCTGCGGGTTTGGGGGCCGTGTCCTTGCCACTTGGCCCTGCCTCCTCGGAACAGAACTCCCCTCCCAAAGGGAGTTCAATGGCCGGCTGGCGCTTGAGCATCCGGGGGTGGGAGGTAAACACTTGGCTGCTGCGGCCCAGGGCTTCGGAGTCGGCGATGTGGTCATCGAAGGAGTAGCTCCCGCGGAAAGTGTGGTGGGGGGTGCTGAGGGTGCAGGGCGCAGAAGGCATTGAGTGGCTTCTCAGCAGAGGCACAGGGGGGGTGGTGCTGGGCGGGTGCTGGAGGCTCAGCGGTGATTGTTCGGGCTTGGTCTTCTCGCCGTGGGACGGCAGGGGCTCCCGGTAGAGGCTGGATTTGGGCGACTCCATGCTGCTGCGCCGCGATAGCGAGCTCCTCCTGGGCTTCACGCTGTCGATCTCGCTGGTGTCCACCACGGCCTCGTTGATGGTGATGAGCTTGGTGATGTGCTCGATGACCTGCGTCCGGGGCACAGACAAAGGCACCAGGCTGGGCTTGTCTTCGGTGGACAGCGGCAGCAGGGGCTGGGTGGAGGTGGCCGTCAGCATGGCGGCCCGCTGCCCGATCCGCCCGCACTTGCCGAAGATGATCTCCGCGTAGGACCTGGTGCTGGTGTTCGGGGGGCTGGCCTGCTGCTCGGCGCTCTCCGAGCGGGAGAAGTACCCGGACTCAGTGCTGCCTTTGCTGCCCGGGCTCAGGAACGCCTGCTCGTCGATCACCTTTTTCCTTTCGCTCAAGCGGAGGGCCAACTTCTGCTTTATGGTGTGGGTGTCCTCAGGTTTATGGCTCAGGGGGTGTTCGGATGAGGGTTCCGCAAACGGGGTGGGGTCCTCGAGCGACTGGGCTGAGCTGGACTGGGACAGGGAACAGCGCTCGTGGCTAGAACCCTGGCTCCCAGAGCTGTACAGACCGCTGGACAGGAGGGGGTGCTTGGGCCTAGGGGAGAGCTCCGTGTGGTGGGCAGACGTGGTGCCCGTTTCCTCCTCCGAATCGGTGCTTTCTCCCTCGGTGGGCTCCTCAAACTCTTCCCCTGGGATCCTCTCCATCTCCAGCCCCGGGGGGTACATCTCGCTGCCCACTCCCGAGGCCAGGCCGGCTTTGATGCGGTGGGCATGGGACTTCCTGTGCTTGTAGAGGTTACTCTTGGTCTTGAAGGAGAAGCCACAGGGGCCGCAGGGGTAGGGCCTCTCGCCCGTGTGTGAGCGGATGTGTTTCTGGAGCACGCTGGGCTTGGCACAGGGCCGGCTGCAGTACTGGCAGATGTACTTGCCCGGTTTCTGGGGTTTCCTCTCCTTCTTGTGTGCCTCCTCCGTGGGCTTCACGGGAACCTGGGAGGGACGGGGCACGAAGACTTTGGGGATCCCAGGCAGGTCTTCGGGGGGGATGATGGAGGCATGGGTAGGGAGGAGCTGGCCCTGAGGATGGAGCCCAGGGCTCAGGAAGGAGCTTGAGGGTCCAGGTCTCATGGGGTCGACCAGTTGCCACGTGGACCCCTCCAGGAGATGCTCAGGTTTGCCAGGCGACATGAATGCTGGTGTCAGAGGGTGCTGCGGAAGCTGCGAGATGTGGACAGAGGCTTCGATGGAGGGCCTCTTGGAGGGCTTCTGCTGCTGGCCCGCTTTCTCCTGAGAGCCTTCCCTAAGGACCGGCGAGGGGCCTGGGAAGGGCTGTGGGGCTAGGAGCTCTTGCACGGGGCCTTCGGGGGCGGCCGCTGTGCTGCTGCCTGGGTACGGCGCACCGGCCGAGATGCTGGCCTGAACAGCCTCTCCTTTGGTCAGCCGCTTCCGGGGACTTCCCTCAGCCTTCTTGGTGCCCTTGACACTTTGTTCAGGATCCATGACCTCCACAGAGACTTCAGATGCTATTGAGGGAGGGTCAGGGTAGGCTGCATTTATGGGTAATCCGAGTGTCCCGAGAAGGCGTCTGGCTTTGGCCACATGGGTCAAGAGCGGAGGAAGCCAAACCCAAGACGGCTTTGGGGGTTTTCTGCAAGTGTCACTGGCTGTGAGTGGACTCAGAGCAAGTCATCAGGGCTTGAGCTAGTCACTTCGGTGAGGCATGGCCCTTTACTTTGTAGACAGAAAATGCGCCAGCACTTTCTGCCTGAATGTCTGTTGCAGCAGCATCATGAAGGACGTCAGTGTTGCCATCATGTTGTCTCAGTTGGCAGTGACAAGTGGCCCCCCACAAGTCCCTGGTGTGCTACGCGAACTGCTGAAGGCCAGAGACGTCTGTGTGCGTGGCCCAGTCATCCCTGGTCCCGGCAGGAGAGGAGCCACGCTGGAGGCCGCAGGTGGCTCTGTCTGCCTCTCTTCCCCTTTAGCCCTGTGTTGGAGATCGACAGCCGTGGAGGGGAGCTCACGCTCTTCTACGTGACAAAAACACACACACAGAAACACACACAGACACACAAGAGAAGAGAGAGTTACTGTGACTGGTCCACAGCCTGGGCATCTCTGGCTCTGCGAAAGCCAGTGAGGTCCCTACAAGCTTAACTAGGAAGATGCAAGCAGAACCCACAGCCCTGGCTCCGCACAGCTGGGCGCTGCCCATCCCTCCCTGACCCACATTCACAGGGCTGTTGGGTGACTCCAGTTCCAGCAGTGCTCCTGGGGACTGCAGCTGTGTGGGGTATCAGGAGCAGTCAGGGACAAGAGGCCCGGGCTCCAGCCTCTGCTCTGTGAGCACCTCTGAGTGGGTTTAGCTCCCTGAGCATCAGTTGCCTAACCTAGAAAATGGATAACAGCAATTCCTGCCTTGACTGTGCCTTGGGGCTACAGTGGGGTCCCACATGCTAATGGACGGGCACGCCACTGGACAGGCTGGCCGGCACAGGAGGAGGTGCTGGCTGGGTATTCAGGGATGAGCTTTCCAAGGGGGTAGGGTGTTCTCAGGTACCATGCCCTCCTGGGCCCTGGATTCTGAAGGCGTCCGGGATGGGCCTTGCTCATGGCTCTTCCTCCTTTGCTAACCCACCTCTCCAGCTGTGTCTCATGACGAAGCTAAAGCCACAGACCTGGTCTGGGGAAGCTCACAGTCTAACACAGCCATGGCCACCTGATCTCCCAAACAAGAGCTGGGAGGCTCATTCTGGCAAGTTCTTCCCATTTTGCAGCCTTTCTTTGCCCAGCCAGTGCCCCAGGGATACCCTGGAAGTGGTTCAGAATGGTGGTCCTTCCTACGCTGAGGGGCAAAGTTGTTCTGGGTGGACCTCCAAGAGTGTGCATCCTCCCGGGGCCCGCCGGAAGTCGGGCAGACTAGGCTCCTCAGGCTCCAAGTGCTTCTCAGGGCTCCTGTCCCCAGCAGCATGGTCAGCATTTCAAAGCTGGTTGAGACAGAAGTCTGGGTTCCAGTTTCAACGCTCCACCTTTCTTCCCAGTGGAGAAAATCGAGGACCACAGCGGGAAGGGGGTCTGCTAAGGAAGCACGTTCCTAAGAGGCAGGGCTGGCACCAGACCCAGGATCCTGTGGCTGGAGTCCATTCCCCAGCCCCTCGCAGGTGATGGTCCCCTGGGTGAGGGCCTGAGTGTGTGCCCGGTGCCTCCCCGGCCTTCTTCCCTCTCCCGTGAGCATGCTCCGCCCTCAGCACCCTGACCTCGGGCTCCCTTCCTGCCCTCGCCCTGCTTTCCACCAGATATTTCCTGATGCAGACTGTAAGGTTCGCTCTTTGCACTTTCACAGGGTGTTGAGAAAGTCGACAAGTCCGAGAGACTCGAGTGATTGTCTCACAAATGGCAGGGCCTCAGACGTATCCATGGAGGGGCAGGTGGTTCAACCTATCAGCTAAACGTTATACACTATAAATTTATTCCTTTTGTGTTTCCTTTCCACCTTCGTTCTACAAAGAATTCAAGAGAACTATAGCAAAATTGTATATTTATTTAAAAAATGACAAGCTATAAATAAATTTAACTGCAAATAAGAATAACAAATCAGAACACAGGGAAGTGTAAATGAGGCAGGAAGTCAGGGCTGGAGGGACAGCAAGAACACTGGGATACCAATCATAAGGGCTCACAGTGTTTCTCTAGCTCAGCTATACAATTATATCGGAGCTTCCCAGCAGCTGAGGAGAAAAGAGAGCTGTGGTCCATTACAGAGTCCTTCCAAGGTAGAGATGAAGAAATATCTCAGTTCCTTGCAGGAAGCAAAGGATTGCTTGAGAAGAACTTACTCGTGTGGTGCAGGGGCAGTGGATGATGCTTGCGATCACCTGTCTCTCCAAATGACACTCCTCTCACAAATGCAGTGCCCAATGTTTGTCACAGAAGGTCACAACCCAGCAAAGGCTATGCTTTGAGCCATCGAAGCCCTCCTTTAACTCAGGCAGAGAAGGCATCCTCCCAAAGCAGGGCCAGCGTAGGCACGGCAGGGGAACCTCACTTCGTCAGATAACCATCAGCAGGGGGACCAGGGAAGGTATCATTCAATCTGGGGCATGCTCGAGAGTGAAAGAGGCATTACCAGGATTATGGAGGAGCAACAGGAATAAATCAGGGCTGTCCCAGGTAAACTGGGACAAACGGTTACCCTTATAATCAATATTTACCTTGGGACCCAAACCAGGCACAAGCGTTCACTCTGGATATGGGGTGTAAACTTTTGATCTTGCTATGAGGACTGACATTACACTGTGGCTTCCTAATGGATTCTTAGAGATTGGTTATCTAGGCCAGTCCTCTCACTTGACAGATGAGGAGACTGAAGCCTAGAAGGATGATGTGATTTTGCCTAAAAACTGCATAGCAACAGTGGCAGAGCCAGACTGTCCTATGCCTCTGGCCAGGGTTCGTCTCCTGCCCCAGTGAGTCAATGCCCTCTCTGATGGCAGTGGTACAGTGGGCACTGCAGCCTGTGGCTCTCTGCTCTGTGGGAGTGCTGGCTTGGCCCCGGGGACACGGCTACATCTCCAATGAGGAGTGGCAGCAGGTGTCTGAGGGCTTAATAGCAAAGGAGGCCGGCTGGACAGGAGAAATGGGGAGCCTGGCTCATGGTGGGGAGTCCATCATGGTGGCATTGTACCAGGCCTTCATTATCCAGACTAAGGTGGGTGGAAGTGCCGAGTCACCTAAAAGTCAGACAAGGCAGGTGTCATCTGTAGCGTGGACAGAGCACTGTTCTGCAGGCTGGTCTGGGACTCCGGGGCCTGGCTGCACCTGTGTGGGGACAGGCCTGCAGGTACTGTGCATGGGTGATAAAGGGTCACCTATACTTACTATATCTACTGACCCTTTCATGCAAGAATGTCAAAGCACCTCCCTGCCCATAACGTTAGCTAGAAGTAAGCTTTGTTTATTCTGATGGATGGGTGGGACCCTGCCGTGTGACTAGGTGGTAAATTAATAGCCTGAGTGGGGGTCAGTTGGCCAAGGAGGGCCCTACATTGTCCAGTCTCGCAGTTGTCCCTTCACTGAACCACCAGGATCCCTAGGGGCAGGTTGGGAAATGCGTGCCAGTGGCTGGGGTTTGGGACAATTCCCAAGCCAGGTGGGAGTGGTGGGTGGATGATGGAAACAGTCAGGAGACTATTGTGTCATCAGGTGACTCACTGGGCCAGCACCACGTGCCTAGGGTCAGCATCTGGCCTACACCTGTGAGTTGGCCTGGGCTCCCTGGGGAGGGCCTCCCTGCCTGCCCACTCTGAGAGAGGTGCAACCAGTACCACTGGCCCCCCAGGTTATGGAGTCAGCGAAGCCTGGGGGGCAGAAAGCCCACCCCTTTGATCTGCAGGGAGGGTGCCTGAGCCACGGTGGTAAATGACTAGCCCAGGGCCACACGGGTCCTCAGACTCCTGAGTCAGTGCTCTCAGCTGCCCTGCTCTACACCTCACGACGGGTCTGAGGTTCTTAACACAAGAGGAGTGTGGTGTGGGGGGGGCAGGCAACAACTGGGACTGTGGGTGCAGATGTGGATCAAAACTCCAGGAACTAGGAGGGCCTCAGCCTCAAAGTGGATCACAATTCAGGTTGGCACAAGCATTTTCTCACTTAACTCTTCAATTCCTCTAGAAGGGCAGTTTCTAATCACTGACCACACTAAGAAAAAGACTCTTTTCTACCTTCTGTGCTTCTGGGGGTATGTGTCAAATTTAATGTGAACTGGAAGTAACAGAGAAAAACCTGTTTTTCCAGAGAATTGGTAAGGGTGCCTGTAAAAGCCACCAGTGACATGAGGTCAGAGGTGGAGGGTTTCCCTGCCAGGGCCCAGGAGCTGGGCCAGCCGGGGCCTGAGCCACAGGCCACAGGGGGATAGACGTCCTCTGCTGGTGGTGGGACAAGGGCCATGGGGCCCACGCTGTCTGTCACCGAGGCCACGGCCCTCAGAGCTCTGGCTCAGAAACCAGCTTAGAACCATGAGGAAAGTCTGGCCTCCAGAGCCAGATTTAGGGTTTAGGAAAATCTGAGCTTCAAGAGCCAGTTAGCTGACATCAGACAACTCAGCTCCCACTTCTGGAAGCTTCCACAGGTCTAGCTGTTAAGACAGCCCAACAGAAAAGAGAGCAGGGTGCTGGGGCTGCAGCCATGAAGGCCTCAGGGGAGTGAGAAGAGATGGAAGAGCCAACAGGGCCCAGGCAAGGTGGCCTAAAGCTTTGAAATCAAACAAGGAAGCAACTTCCACATCCCAGGCATTGGGACAGCATGGCCAGAGCCCAGAGTGGGTACCGCAGAGGGCTCTGCCAGAGGGGAGATGGGAGGTGGGCTCTGTCAGGAGGACGGCTCCCCCATCTGGGCAGGAGGCCAGCTCGAATCTGCCTTGGGCTCTAGACTCGGCAGCTTGGCTCACCAGCCGAGCTAGATGAGACTGAGGCAAGACGGGGACAGGGGCCAGATGCCCAGGGTCTATTCAGGCAATCGAACTCCAAATTCATGCGGCTTGATAAAATTCTTTGCTTGTAATTTAGTTACACACACACACATAGACATATGCCTGCATGCAAGCTAGTACGCTAAAACCTGGTCAAAATTTTACTGATGGTAATAAAACATACTGATCTTAAAAACACCAGGAAAGCAGGCTTCTTCCTCACTTTAAAAGCTGAAACCTAATGCAAAAGGCTGCAAGTAACAACACAGACTAGGGTTTAGGCCTGAAGGACAAGACGGGGACCTTCTATGAAAAGCATTCTGTCCCTGAGGCCACACACACACACACACACACACACACACACACACACACACACACACGGCACCACCACACAGCGACTCCAAAGGCAGTTTCGCAATTTGTGTGTGAATCCTGGCTTCGCGCCTCCTAACTGGAAATTCTTGGAACCTCTCTCGTCTCCAGTCTCCCCACCTGTAAAATGGGGACAATAGAAGGACCACACGTCTGGCTGTTTCTGCTTCCCACGTCTCCTCTCTGCCCATTCTAGCGGCTCTGGTCCAGACCAGCAGATCTGTCTAGACCAGAAGTTGCAAAGACTGGCTACAGAACAGAAAGCCTGGGGAGCTTTTTCCTTCTTTACGTTTTTAAACAATGAAAATGCACTTGAGCAATTTTAAGCCATTGTAGAATTGTACTATCTCCTGCGTCCCCCTGCCCCCCTACATGCCCTCTTCGCAGAACCCACAGTTAGTTTCACGTGTTCTTCCCCACGCCCTAGGGTGTTTTGAGGAAACTACCTCCTGATTTGCTTCTTTAAACTTATGCGTGGATATCTAGGTTCACCCTTTCTAAGGGCAGCTAGTATTCCATTAGGGGCTACATTCACGTTCAGCCAGTCCTTTATGGAAGCATACGAAGGTTGTTTTCAGCTTCTTCTATTCCAGGAAATGCTACAAAGAACATGCTCTGCATACTAGTGTGAGTGTATCCACAGGATGAATTCCAAGAAGGGGAATGCTCGGCCACAGGGAGTGTGCCATGAAGCTTTTGATAGGTACTGACAAATAGCTCCTCCAAAAGCACAAATTTATGCTCCAATTCTGTGTGGGAACTGTTTCTCCAAACTTTATTTTTCTACCCGGAATATAAGCAATGTCTTTAATATTTACTAACATGAAATCACTGGACTAGCTTCCCGTTGCTGCTGGAACAAACTGCCAGAGTTAGTGGGTCAAAACAGCACATTTTAGTATCACACATTTCTAGGGGCCTGAAGTCAGAAATGGGTCTCACTGGGCTAAAATCGAGGTGTGGCCATGTACCTTTCTGGAGGCTGCAGTGGTGAATCCCCTTCCTTACCTTTCCAACTTCTAGTGGCCGCCTGCCGTCCTCGGCTCGTGGCGCTCCCCAGCTTCCAAGCCAGCAGCACCTGCCGCATCCTTCCCATAGCGGACGACACTAACATCCATTGCACTGCCTCCCTCTTTCACCTATAAAAGCTCCTGTGAATATGTTGGGCTCTCCTGGATAATCCAGGATAACCTCCCCATCTCCAGATCCTTAATCTAGTCACAGCCACAGAGTCCCTTTTGTCACGAAAGACAACATATTCACAAGGTTTCAGGGATTAGAATGTGGACGTCTTTGGGGCCATTATTCTGCCGACCACAGTGGCATCTTATTGTGTAAAAATCTGTATTTCTTGATCTCTACAGAGGCTTAGAACTTTGCATAAATGTATTAATTATTTCATCCAGGCAATTATTTTTTATATTTGTTGCTTATGTTTCTAACAAACTACATTTTTCTTATTTGTTTGTATAAGCTCTTTGATATTGAGGGTATTGATCCTTTATACAGGGTGGGGCAAAAGCAGGTTAACAGTTGTAAGTACGTGAAACACCGAGGTTATTCTTGTACTGTTACTTATTAATTATTGCATTATATTAACAACTGTACCTACTTTTGCCTCACCCTGTATGTCAACTGCAAATATTTCTACCTCTTTATGATTAGTATTTAACTTTGCTAAAGAGAAAAATTTTGTTTCCATGTGGTCAATGAAATGAAAAGTCAATCTTCCCTTTATGAATTTTAGGTTCCATGTCCAAGATTATTTTTTAGAATATCACCAAATTTCCTTCCAGTTCCTTTATGGTTTATTTATTTCCTTCTCTCCTTTTGCCCCGCCCCCCCCCCCACCCACTCCTCTGCCATTCTGTCCCTCCCTTTCAGTCACCATCTTGACTCCATCTGGCATTTACCTTTGCGTAAGGAGTGAGGTAAAGATAAAGCTTGATTTTCCCCCCAGTATAGCTAGCCAGTTGTTCTAACATCATTATTGAATAGTCCACCATCATCCCACCAAAATTTCCTGGGGTGTCTTCTAAAAACACAGGTTCTAGCCCCATTCTAGATCCACTGAAACAAATATGTGGGAAAAGGGCCCCGGAATCTACACTTTCACAAAATTCCCCATGGAGATCCAGCCTATGCTTGTCTAGAGCCTGGCATTTGCAGAAACTGATGACAGTCTTCTGCCTTGCCTCTAGGTTCCCAAGCTTCCCCCACCTTACTCCACCCGACTCCGCCATTCCTTGTGGCAAGAAAGATCTCTTCAACAGCCAACCTCACCAGACTTCTCCCTCTGTTAAGAACTCTAATGGCTCCCCACTGCAGGGAGACTCAACCAATGCCATTTCAGCCCCAGTATAATCAGCCTTCCCAGCCTCCTCGCCCGCCCTGCACTTTCACATCAAACCTAACAGACATGCTCTGATCGCTCTGTGTTTACACATCGCTGTTCCCCAGGGATCGGGCAGAGAGAGGAGTCTGGAGGCTAATTCCACAAAGGAGTCAGGGAATGCTTCCTTGAGGAAGATGTGTTTGAGCTGGTCCTTGAAAGATGGGGAAAACAATGATAGATTTGGAAGAAAGGGATTCTAGTCTAGATGGGAGGTACAACCTGTGCAGAACACGGGAGGCTAGAATGTGTCCACAGTGGGTGTTGAGTTGTCTGCCTTTCCCTCAGCCCGGGCTTTGGGGCTCCTGAGCCCGTATGTCTCAGCGTGGGTCCCACATTTTGCTAGGGTGGGTTCGGGCATAGTCAAAGATTTCCACATGTTCCCTTGTAGGCACTAGGACAAGAAAAAGTCCCAAATAAAAAGTCGTACCAAACAGATCTAACAGCTGGGGTCAATATCGATCTTCAGAAAGCAAGTGGAAGGCAAAATATGGCCCCATGTGGTGGCCAGGGGTGTGCTACTGGGCTGGGTCAGGCTTTTGGGGTGACCAGCTCCTCACATCTTCTGGCCTGGATTCACTCATGGAAAATAGGCCTCCCTGGGGTCTGATGGATTGCCTATGTTGGGAGGAAGTTTTCCACTAACCTTGAGAAGCCCGAGATATCTGGTATGGGTCAGGTCTGTGGGTTCACCAGTTCATGAGCACCTTCCTGGCAAACTGGTCTCCTGGAATGGGCAGAGACTGGGCCTTATTCACCTTTGGATTTGCAATACCTGTCACTGGCCCCAGCACTGAGTCAAATGCTGAAAATATTTTAAAAATGCTAAATGAGCATCTACCATGTACCCAAACTATACTAAACATTCACATATTAATGCTCATACATGTCCCCTTTTTGCAGATGAAAAGACTGAAGCTCAAAGAGGTGAGGCTAATTGCTTCAGATGATACAAGAAAGGGTAGAGGTCAGATATGAACCCCAAGTGCTGGCCACTGTCTAGAAAGCCCCCAAGAGTGCTGACCTTAGCCAGAATGGCCCAGAAAGATTGTACCTTTCTTCCCAGCACCCCAGCTCCTCCAGGAAGTCTCCCCAGTTAACTACATCCATCTCCACTTGCACCAAAGTCTCTCCCTCATGCACAAATCACTCGGCATGACCCTGCTCAGAATTGAGTTTTTTGATAAATGCTTCTCCCCACCGCCAGTGAGTGGTGGATTAGTCACTGTCTGGGAGGCTCTCAAATCACTTCCCTTGGGTGACTGTGGTTTCTGCCTTCCTACTTTTCCTTCTTCTCCTTCCCAACCCTAAGACCTAGCCAGGGCTTAGAATTTCTACACACTGGTCAAAAAGCAAATTCTATTCATAGCAAAGAGAGAGCTAGGCAATACCAAGTGAGTTCTATCTGGCTAGTGTTTGTCTTCCTGTGGAGAGCCCAGGGACTAAGGTGGAACTGACATTCCCAGGGAGGACAAGGTTTCCACTGACACCCCCGAGGAAAGTAGGAACATCTTTCCCAGTCAAGACTAGGCAATAATGCAGCCAGAACTCCACACTGCTAGACCTTTGGAAGCCCAGACGTAGCCCTGATTGTTTGTAGTCATGATAACTCAGTCAAAGATGGTTCAAACCAATGTCCTGTGTCTCATCCGAACAACTGAACTCTTAGTATGTGTTGGGGCTGTTCTTAGTGTTTACACAATAACTCTATCGGGTAGGAACGATGGTCATCCTCATTTTACCGATGAGGAAACCGAAGCACACAATCACACAGCTGGCAATGGCAGAGCAGGAACCTGGACCTAGGCCATCAGAGGACCTCCGCAGCGCAGAGCCTCAGGGCAGCTGGGGCCACGCCGGCCTTGCAGACAGGACCAGATTTAAATCACAGTCCTGACACTTTGGGTAACCAAACCTTGTTCCTAGCAGCCTTCCTTCCCATTATGTGGCTGGTCTCGTTAAGAGCTTTTTTTTTCCTTTCACCTAGAAAAGTATTGACAGTGTTTAAGTCTTGTTCCCATTGATACGGAAGATGAACTGAGATCAGGGACTCTAGTCTCAACTCAACAGGGTCCAATGAAACCCAGATACTTGTAGTTTATTAATCTACTAAATTATCTATTGTTACAAATCTAGTTACCTATGCACCTACCCATCTCATCATTTATCATATCCTCCTGGTTGCAGTAAAGATTAAAGAGAGCTTCCAGACACCCTGGAGAACTTGGAAAGTGTCTGAACTTAACCCGCTTAATCTTAAATGGTCTAGGAACTACCTGCGGGTGAAAGAGCTCAGGAAAGAACAAAGCCTGAAACAAGAGTTGGATGGGGCCAGGCGGCTTGTCTCTGGCCATTTGCACTCTGCCAGTCTCACATCAGTGTAGCCTAAGACAGACCTGCACTCCACATTTGTCACCATGGCCTGTTCTCTCATCAGTTCCTTTGATGACATTTTGTTTCTGCACAAGTGACCGTGGTACAGAAGGCATTCCTGCCTATGAGCTTCCTAGGTAGTTAAGGCTCCTCAGTCTACTATGAAGGGAAATACACAGAACACACTATAACACACACACACACACACACACACACACACCCACTATAGAATAAACTATATAAGGACTAATGACCAGGGAGGCTAGGTGATACATAATATATAGTGCATTCAAAAAAGTAAACAATGACAACAGTAGGGATTGCCTGTGGGCTCTACCATTCTTACCCATGTGGCAGGATGGACATAACTGTACTTGTAGTGCTACAGCAGTTACCATGATCACTTCGAAGTTCACCTCACTCAATCCTCAAGTATCACATGGACCTTCTCGATGCCAGGCCAATAACAGGAAAACAGAAAAATTATAGACCTTACTGTAAAGTGGACCATGTAGTACCAACACAAGGAGAGATAAAAAACAACAACAATGGAAACAAAAGAGTAAGGAAACAGACTACCACACACATAGTCAGCTGATTTATAACTAAGGTGTTAGCACATTTGGTGGAGAAATGATAATCTTTTCAATAACTAGTGCTGAAGCAATTAGTTATCCATAAGGAAAAAAACAAAGTAGGCTTCTACCTCATACCATACACAAATATTAATGTGAAATGGATGATCGGCCTCAATATAAGAGATTAAACAATAAAACTTGCAGAAGAAAACACAATATCGACTCATGAGCTTGGATCCAGCAAAGATTTCTTACCCAGTTCACAAAAAGCATAATCACCTAACTACAAAGGAGAGAATTGATAAATTGGGCTTTATTGAAATAAAACAGTCTGCTCATCAGAAATTCCAATAAGAGAATGAAAAGGCAAACCACGGACTAGAAGAAGATGTTTCCATACATATCTGACAAAGGACTCATCCAGCATATTAAATATCCCTAAAAATGAATTTTAAAAAGGCAGACAACCTAATTAACTTTTGGCCAAATTTAACTCAAAATGGATAAAGACCTAAACATAAGAGCCAAAACTACAAAACTCTGAGAAGAAAACATAGGAGAAAAGCCTCATGACAACGCTGGTTTAGCAATCGATTGCTTAGATCTGACACTGAAAGCGCAGACAACCAGAGGAAAAACAGATGCATTGGATTTCATCAAAATGTAGCACTTTGTCTTTCTGATTAAAGGACAGAATGAACAGGGGGAAAAGGCAACCTTCAGAACAGGAGAAAATATTTGCAAGTCAAATGTGTGATAAGGAGTTAATATCCAAAATACAAAAAGAACTCCTACAAGTCAAAAACAAAAACCAAACAACCAGGTTAAAAATGATAAAAGGACTCGAATAGACATTTCTCCAGAGAAGATATGAAAACGGCCAACAAACACAGGAAATGGTGTTCAATACCATCATTCATTAAGGAAACTCGAATCAAAACCATGAGAGACACCCCCTCATGTGCTCTGGGGGGGCTACTCCCGAGGGCAACCCCAGGAAATAAGTGCTGGGGAGAACGTGGAGACATCAGAACTGCAGTGCACTGCTGGTGGGAATGCAAAATGGCGCAGCCTCCATGGAAAACAGGATGGTGGTTTCTTAACAAAATTAAACATAGAATTACCATGCAATCCAGCAATTTTACTTCTGGGTATAAAAGGATGGAAGGGGGAGCCTCACTGAGGTATTTGTACTCCGTGCTCCTAGTGGCATTAGTTTACAATAGCCAAAAAGCCGGAAGCAAACCAAATGTTCACTGATGAGATGAATAAGTCAACCAACCGTGGAATACACATGCAACGGAATATTATCCGGCCTTAAGAAAGGGAAAAAATTCAGACACATTCTACCATGGGGATCAACCTTCAGGACATCATACTAAGTGAAATCAGCAAGTCACAGAAAGACAAATACTGTATGATTCCAATTACAGGTACCTATAGAATAGTCAAACTCAGAACAAACAGAAAGAATGGTGGTTGCCCGGGGCGGGGGGAGAGGAGAGGAGGGGAGAGGGGAATGGTCATTTAATGTGTGGAGTTTCTGTTTTGCACGATGGAAAGAGTTTTGGAGGTTCATTCACATGGCAGAACAGTATGAAAATAACTGCTGAACTTAGAAATGGTTAAGATGGTAAATTATATATTATGTATATTTTACCACAATTTTTAAAAATGACAAAAGATTTGAATAAGTATTTTTAAAAAGATGTGATATAAATGGTCCAGAAGCATATGAAAAGGTGCTCAACATTATTACTCGGCAGGAAAACACAAACTGAACCCACCACGCATCCACCCGAGTGGCGCAGATGAAACACGCACGATGACACCACACGCTGGCAAGGAAGTGGGGCAACTGGAACTCCTCTCGCGCATTGTCGGTGGGAAGGTGGGCACCAGCGTTTGGACATCTGATTGGCACAATCTTCAAAGCTACACACTCACCTACCCTATGACCCCAAACTAAGAACGTATTCTACAGAAATGCACGTGTATGTCTGCCAAAAACCACAAACAAAAATGTTCACAGTAGTTTCATTCACGACAGCAAAAAGCAGGCAGCAGCCCAAATGCTAACAACAAATAGCATGGATAAATAAAACTGTGGTATATTTATACAAGAATTATTAAATAGTAATAAAAAGAACAAGGTACTGCTACGGACAGAAATACAGAGAGATCTCACAGACATAATAAGGAAGAGAATTCAGGCACAATAGACTGTTTACTGCTTGACTCTACTTAATTGAAGTTTAAGAACAGGCCAGATTAATTCGATGGTATTGGAAATCAGAATAGTGATTTGTTCTGGTGGGGCAGGTAGGTATTGACTAGGAAGGAGAAGGCAGGAGCTTTTGGGCAGGGCAGGAATGTTATTCATTAGGGAAATGCACATCAAAATCATGCATATTATACGGGTATATATATGTAAAAAGTATCTGAGTTGTATATACAACTTATGACATGTGTACAGTTATGCTGTGTGCATACTTATGATATGTGTACATAATTGTGTGTGTGTTATTCCTTAATTTAAAAAAAGACATGGAGTTTTCCCCTGAAAAGTGCAAAGCCTCTAAGGGGAGAGGCGGACGGGAATGGGTGATGAAAGGTGGTGGAGGCTGTGATAGAAACGGTCCCAAGTGCAGCCCACAGGGCAGCGAGTGCTCAGAAGGGCAGACTTCAGGGACGGTGCCCCAGGCTCCCGAGGACAAATGGGATTTCACCAAGCAGAAACGGGGACTAACGTGGGCAAAGGCACGGTGAGGCTGGG